TTTAGGGTACACTGACCTACACACCTGTAAATCATTCTAATCTTTCATTCTAATAAACAGACACTTCAGAAGAAAGTGATGTGTCTGAATCAGGTTATCATCTCCTTTTTCTGACTCCTATTTCTTTGATCAAATTTTCTAAAATGATATTTTTTTTGTTTTGTTTTTTCAGTACCAGGGATCAAACTCAGGGCTTTGGGTTTACAAGGCAGTCACAGTGCCCCTGAACTAAATCTCTGGCCCGATTTGTTGTTATTCTTTTTTTTTTTTGGTACTGGGGATCGAACTCCAGCCCTTGTGCTTGTGAGGCAGGCACCAGAACCACTGAGCTAAATCCCCGGCCCTTTGTTGTTATTCTTGATGGGTATAAGGGGGAATTCTCAAGGAAATCAGGTGGGGAGTTGAAACAGGGTCACTTGTTGTTAGAAGTGGGTAGGAACACAATTCAGAGTGGAAGAGGGAAGGTGCAAACCTCCCCATCTGGCCCCTTCCAAAGGGAGAGAAGAATGTTTAAAGATTGGTAGTATGTTTAAAACATGTATCAGTAAGTAAAGGCTGGGATATAGCTCAGACTACAGTACCTGCCTAGCATGTATACTTTTTTAATAACTAGAAGAGAGGAGCTTGAGGTCTCTAAACATAAAGCTATAAGATGAAAATATTAATTATTCTGATTTGATTGGTACAGATTGGGTACATGTATTGAAAACCATGCACTACTTCATAATATGTACAATTACTGTTGTCAATCAAAAAATTTTACTGTTAAAAAAACTTTGTGTTTAAGGAGATGAAATGTTAATTATCCTAATTTGATCTTTACGCATTGGGTACATGTATCTAATTACATATACCTTGCTTCAGGAGTATGTATAATTAAAATAATAATTTGTTCTGCTTTGTTCTTGTTTGCTTTTTGAGACAGGGTCTCCCTATGTGGTTCAGGCTGACCTTGAACTCACTATGTAGCCCATGATGGCCTTGAACTCATGGGGATCCTCCTGCTTCAACCCTCCCAAGTGCTAAGATTACAGGCATGCACCAGCGTGCCCATTTTAAAATAATAGTTTTTAAAGTAATACTTTGTGGAATCCAACGATGGTAGGTATCTTAGTGACTTTTCTAGTTGCTGAAACAAAATGCCCAACACCCAAAGTTAAGGAGGAAAGGTTTGTTTGCTTCACAGTTTGGAGGGGAGTTAGTCCATAATCAGCTGACTCCAAAGCAGGTTGGCATGGGAGATAGACATCACAGAGGAGAAATAGTTCATAGTGAGCAGAAGGTAGCAATGCAAATAAGAGGCAAAACAAGACTCTTTCTGTCCCCTATAGTGTATCCAAGCCAGGATGAGGACAGTGCCAAACTAATCAGTGGACTGATCACCCACCCTTAATTCCAGCATTGCACCATGAATCAATCACACATTCTAGGGCCAGGGATTTAGCTCAGTGGTTCGGTGGCCTGCCTTGCAAGTGCAGGGACCCGAGTTCAATCCCCAATACCCCGCAAAAACAATCACACATTCAGCCACCTCTGAAAAAGCCCCGCCTATGACTGCATGAGGCTTTATGGGGACATCTAGACACAGCCCTAACAGTAAGACAGTGTGTGAGTTACAGATGGTAGTGTTGGGAGGAGTCCATGCAGAAGACCTATCCCAGTGAGAGCAATGCAACTCTATGATGGTGTTATGCCCAAGTCGCGAAGTCCCCAAAGACCACCAAGGAGTCAGGTCCGATGCAATTACAAGAGGAGTTTATTGCAAGCTCAAGCCTAGACCCTCGGGTGTCACCATCACAGCGGCTTCAGACCGAGAGTCCAGATCCATCTTTGAAGCAGGATTATATAGGATTACGGAGACTCTTCCTTTTTATAGGTCCTATTTTTATCCTTCGCTTACTATTGGATATTGAGGGGTACTGGGAGGGCCCTTACTGGAAAATTACTAATACCTATGTTCACAGAATCAATTCCTCTTTTTAAAGAAGAACATCTGATTAAACAAATTCTATAATTAGCAAAGACTACATATGTAAGCAGTGACTAATGCCTATGTTAGCAATGGCTACCTATGTAAGCTGTGACTAGTACCTATGTTGGCTAAATCAGTTCCTCCTTTTAAAGAATATTGATTATCTTAAGCAGAAGAATTCATCTTTAGATCATAAAAAGAGGAACAGAAACAGGGTGGAGATGCTCTAAGACAGCTTGCCCTAAAAAGAGGAACAGAAACACAGGGAGACTGTCATACAGAATGGAATTTTTGCAGCTCTGTTCTGGGCAAGGGGCACAGAGGTGAACAGAGGGAACCCACCTTGACCTGAAGATTTGGTCCTTACAATGGAAGTGGTCCAATGTAATGCACCTGTCACCACATTGGCATCCCAGGGAACAGTGCCATACTGAGACTCAGCGTTGGTCCCTGTTGCTATAAATCTGGCTTCAGCAGGTGCTTTCCAAAGGGAACATTAGGGCCGGGGATTTAGCTCAGTGGTTCCACCGTCTGCCTTGCAAGCGCAGGGACCCAAGTTTGATCCCCGGTACCAAAAAAAAGGAAACCAAAGGGAATATTAATGATGTCCTGCTATGGACAACCCATGCCCTCTTAACCATTGGAGCTAGAATTACTGGGCTCTGCCCAGAAGTCACTAATCATAACATATTACCTATACCTTAAAGTATATTTCTTTTATATGAACTATAATTTTATAAATATATAATTAGAAATTTATATCCACAATCCTGTTTTTGTTGTTTTTGAGACAGAGCCTTATTATATAACCCAGGCTGGCCTCAAACTCAAAATCCTGCCTCAGCCTTCCAAGTGCTAGGATTACAGATGTGTGCCACCACTCCTAGCTTGTAAGACTCTGTTCTTATAAAGCCACCTCTAATACCACAGTCTGTACTAGTTAGTGTTCAGTTAGCGAAACATAATCAATAGTGTTTAAAAAGTCAATTCTCTTAGTGAACCACTGAGATATATATATGTGTGTGATTATATATTTATATGTGTGTGTATATATGACTATAAATATATAGAGTACATCTATCCATATCTATATTCATGTATATATAAAGGCATTTATTATATGTGTTTGAGTCCATTCAGGCTGCTATAAAAAATATAAAGTAGGGGGCCAGGGATTTAGCTCAGTGGTTCCGCCACCTGCCTTGAAAGTGCAAGGACCCAAGTTCGATCCCCAGTACCAAAAAAATAAAAAATAAATAAAGTAGGGCCGGATATCTAGCTCAGTGGTTCCGCCTCTTGCCTTGTAAGTGCAAGGATCCAAGTTCAATCCCCAGTACAAA